AACATTCATGAACAAACACCAGGAGATACTAACGTTAATGGTGAAAACTAGGCCTAATGTTCAATCAGTTTTAATACTAACAAATGATGGAAGAACATAACAGTGTTTATTAGAAGTTAAGCTCATGTTTAGTACAGAGTAAGGTTAAAGGTGCTTATTGGTTTATGTTTTAGATAATCTAAAATAAAATTCTTAAATAAGAATGTTTATACTTCAGGTGCAAATACGTATACTACAACATTCATGAACAAACACCAGGAGATACTAATGTTAATGGTGAAACTAGGCCTAATGTTCAATCAGTTTTAATACTAACAAATGATGGAAGAACATAACAGTGTTTATTAGAAGTTAAGCTCATGTTAGTAGAGAGTAAGGTTAAAGGTGCTTATTGGTTTATGATTTAGATAATCCGAGCAAGGTTAAATGTGCTTACTGGTTTGTGTTTTAGATAATAAGGATATGGTTAAATGTGCTTAGTGGTTTGTGTTTTAGATAATCCAGACAAGGTTAAATGTGCTTACTGGTTTGTGTTTTAGATAATAAGAATATGGTTAAATGTGCTTAGTGGTTTGTGTTTTAGATAATCAGGGCAAGGTTAAATGTGCTTAGTGGTTTATGTTTTAGATAATCAGGGCAAGGTTAAATGTGCTTAGTGGTTTATGTTTTAGATAATCAGGGCAATGTTAAGTGTGCTTAGTGGTTTGTGTTTTAGATAATCAGGGCAATGTTAAGTGTGCTTAGTGGTTTGTGTTTTAGATAATAAGTATATGGTTAAACGTGCTTAGTGGTTTGTGTTTTAGATAATAAGTATATGGTTAAACGTGTTTAGTGGTTTGTGTTTTAGATAATCAGAGATATGAAATCTAATGCGATATGTAATAATTAACAGACAAATGAACACATGTTCTGAAGATGTTTAACGGTTACAGTTCTCTGATGTTAAGTACAATTATCACCAGTCTGAGATTTTTTATAAAATAGTAACACGTGAATTTCTTTCTCCAGTGTTATGGCTCCAGTGCAGTGCAAGTGTTTCTATGTTCAGAACACAAAGCAGAAATCAAACACGTAAGCTGGAGAGAAAGCAAATGATGGTAACGAACGTATCTCACAGTTAAGACAGGAGGAAATTGATATGCCAATCTAGAGTGCAGAGATCTGTTCAGTGACATTCCGTGCCTGGTTTATGCATTAAACGAAGTTGTTCACCATACCTGGATGTTAGATTTCTCCAGTAATCTAGCGATACCCCAGGAGCAACAGCGAGAGCTTCTTCCCACTAAGTTTTTCAAAGACAGTTAAACACTGTAGTCAGTCAAGATTATGTGGTTAGTAGAAGCGGTAGGTACAAGCTCTGTATTTTATGAAATTTTACCATCTATGACAACAAGTAACATCTTCAAAGGAACTGTTACACTACATTCTTAACCAATTCTTATTAGCAAAGCCAGAGAAATGTTTGAAAAGGCTTTTCTAAGTAATCACATGAGCATAAATGGTTTTAAAATCAGGGAAGAAAAGTGATTTAAAATCAACGTGTGTTAATAAAGCATCGTTAATGCCACCTTTTATAACAATTTGGAACTAACTACTCTGAAGAAAAAAATAAACAAGGATTGAGACAAACAACTTATTTTAATTCAAGAATCAGACAAAAACTCATAAAATGGAAAGTAAAAGTTCAATATTACAATGAAATATTTAAAATAAGTGTTAGATTTATATACCAGATGGAACTTAAGGAACAGACAGAAGTATTAAAAACAGTATTAAGGAATAATGAAACTAGTTCACAGAGTCATACAGGTTAATGGGATAATATATATATCTGAAAATGATACACAAGTATAATTCTTGAAAAATAATTTTAACATTTAAATCAGGCCAAGATGCAAAACTAGCAACAGTAGCCATTAACATGTTTTAATTTTTAACCAATCTGTATTATGCTTCAGGTAATATTAACACTCAGTCTACGAGTCAGGGAGACATGTTTTAGTTGGTTGATTCCCACGAGTCAGGGAGACATGTTTAGTGGGTTGATTAACTTGTGGCAACATCTGGAATCTGAACTGTCTACCAGCATGACCAACATCTGGAATCTGAATTGTCTACCAGCATGACCAACACCTGGAATCTGAACTGTCTACCAGCATGACCAACATCTGGAATCTGAATTGTCTACCAGCATGACCAACATCTGGAATCTGAATTGTCTACCAGAGTGACCAACATCTGGAATCTGAATTGTCTACCGCATGACCAACATCTGGAATCTGAATTGTCTACCAGCGTGACCAACATCTGGAATCTGAATTGTCTACCAGCGTGACCAACATCTGGAATCTGAATTGTCTACCAGCATGACCAACATCTGGAATCTGAATTGTCTACCAGCATGACCAACATCTGGAATCTGAATTGTCTACCAGCGTGACCAACATCTAGAATCTGAATTGCCTACCAGCGTGACCAACATCTGGAATCTGAATTGTCTACCAGCATGACCAACATCTAGAATCCGAATTGCCTGCCTAGATAATCAGAGCAAGGTTAAATGTGCATATGGGTTTACATTTTAGATAACCAGGGAAAGGTTAAATAGGAACATTTTAAAATATTTTGTGCAAGAGGAACACAGTGTGGTCAACCCCTTAAACAAGGAAACAGTAGGCTGTGACACAAGACTAAGGAGTCAAACAAGGAAACAGTAGACTGTGACACAAGACTAAGGAGTCAAACAGGGAAACAGTAGACTGTGACACAAGACTAAGGAGTCAAACAGGGAAACAGTATAATGCAATACAAGCCTAAGGAGTCAAACAGGGAAACAGTAAGAAGTGATACAAGACTAAGGAGTCAAACAGGGAAACAGTATGATGTGATACAAGACTAAGGAGTCAAACAAAGTAATAGTAGGATGTGATACAAGACTAAGGAGTCAAACAGGGAAACAGTATGATGTAATACAAGCCTAAGGAGTCAAACAGGGAAACAGTAGAATGTGATACAAGACTAAGGAGTCAAACAAAGTAATAGTAGGATGTGATACAAGACTAAGGAGTCAAACAGGGAAACAGTATGATGTAATACAAGCCTAAGGAGTCAAACAGGGAAACAGTAGAATGTGATACAAGACTAAGGAGTCAAACAAAGTAATAGTAGGATGTGATACAAGACTATGGAGTCAAACAGGGAAACAGTATGATGTGATACAAGACTAAGGAGTCAAACAAGGAAACAGTATGATGTGATACAAGACTAAGGAGTCAAACAAGGAAACAGTATGATGTGATAC